CAGAGCTTCTTGGAATTTCATTTGCCAAATCTAAAGGTAACCTACCAACCAGCTTAATGACTTCTAAAATTCTACCAGCTTCAAATGGATTATTGAAAAATTGTACTGAAACGGACAAGTAAAGATTTTAAACATCTTAACTCTTCCATACATAACATTTAACTTGAAATGAGGTATGACAGCATTCAAAGACCCACTGCAAGCTCTGGGTGATAAAAGGGAAAACCCCAAATTAGCCACAGTTAAATCCAGAGGCACAGAGGAGCGGCTTACATTGTGGGAAAGGGGCAACATTATGAAAACAATCTGTACAGACTTTGATACTTTTTGCAGGGAACACTGACTCTCAAAAAGTTCTTTTCTGCAGGGTGTCACAAGAGGACCTGTGTGGATTACCCCATGCTGTTCACACCAGACAGAAGAAAAAAAAGAAAGAATTAATTTATACTGTGGGATTCTAAACCCTTGCAGATATAGGACTCATTAAAATATCACTCGGACAAAACTCCCGCTGAAATCAGTGGTTGCACTGGTTAACCAAGTTACAAAATCCAAAAAAATGGGAAATGAAGAAGGATTTGCTCCCAGGACTGCAAGGTTTTCGAAACCTATAAACTGACCAGATCAGTCGTTCCAGGTTTTGGAAATTCTGAGCACACAACACCTGCACCGTTGGGTCCGTGTGTTCTGATTCTGTAACTTTTTTTCACAGATGCAGCCCTAATGATTTCAATTAATTTATACAAGTAAGAAATGATTACTTGCACCACTATGCTAGGCAAGATTAAGCTACATGCAAAACTTTATACATAAAATCCCCACAACCACAGGCTTATCCTCAGTAGTGACTGGACACGTCTACATGTGCCTCTTTTAAGTGGGTTTAGTCTAAAATCGTCATTTGAAGGCACATTAAGGACACGTTTCTATGCATGCGTGCCCTTAATGCACCTTTAAAATGGTAATTTAAGGCTATGTGAGCCTAAATTTGATACCTGCATAAAGCAGGTATCAAATTTAGGCACAAATAGCTACGTTACATTAGCGCATGTGCAGACACACTAATGCACATTAACGCAGTGTGTGTCAATGAATAGACACTGTGTTAATGTGTATTAGTGCATCTGCACATGTGCTAATGCAACTTAGCTATTTGCATCTAAATTGAATGCACCTTAATGCACATTAACACATCCATGTGTAGAGGCACGCCTAAATCGCCTTAATGCGCCTTAAGCAAAGGTGCATTAAGTTTAGGCACACGCAAATACACAGGCCTAATGCTGGATAGTGTGGGCAGACACGCCCACAGTATCCAGCATTAGGCCTATGTGGTCAAAGCAAGCATATGTATAAAACTGCAACCTCGAGGGGCTACTTAAAGGAGTAAAGTTACTTTTATGCAGGTTTGATCCTAACTTGATTTATCCACTGTTAATAGTTCCCTCTTTTTGGATTTAAACCCTCTCAACTCCAGAGCATTTTTTAACTCAACTTCGCAGGATATTTTTATGTAATTCAAGGAAACCACACTTTAGAACGGTACTAAAGTATTTTTACTCTTGGAAGTGAGCTACAATTTGCCTACAAGCATCTAACAGAAATAAACAGCAACAAATGGCAAGCCTGCAGCTCAAAGCTGTCCCCTCCTTCAGCCCCCAATTATTTTAATAAATTAACCTGAACAGTTGTCTGTAAAATATACAACTAACTGCTTTTAGATGAAACTGTTTTTTAAACTCAGCTATGTGGTGTACCTGGGGAACAGAAAATATGCAATTAAAAACATGAATAGGAAAACTTGTATTTTGAATGTCCTCACAGAATTTGTAAAAATATAAATATTTTGTTAGTGTTCATTTTCACAATAGAAGTGCATCTACAGATTATTCACAATGTGACAGTTTATTAAAACCACTCCTGAATACTGCTGCTGTTACGTACATACAAGAGGTTTCTTTTAGACATTTCTATTAAAAACCACATCTTTACTTTTTACTGCAGACTCCTCATGACATCTCTTTCATTTATTCACCCAAGACAAGAAGCTCCCTCTAACGACAATGACTTTTTTGGACACAGGCAGAATCTAGCTTTGTATACAAAAATATGGTTTCCCCCTTGTACACTGTCTTTCAGAATTTTAAATAAATTCAATTTTTGCATTCAGGCCATTATTTTGTCACCGGAGAGTATGTGCTTTGCTCTTTCATTCATTATATTAATTCAAGGATTAAGCAAAACGTATGTTAAAGTAAATGTAAAAAAAGAAGAAGAAAGGGAAATGGGGAAAGATTTTATAGAAATATCATATTTGGCCATATCCTAGAGCCAAGCTTCAGAACATCTATCACACAGCAAAGCCTTGCTTGTACAAAGACTGAGATAAACATTTTGGTTCAATGTTTCCATTCAGTTAAATCAAAGCTCACCAGCACTTCTGAAAATAAATAACTATTTCCTTGTGGAAGGTAATTAAATAAACCTTTTGCATCTTAACAGCATATTTAATATAGTATCTATCCTACACAACTAAATAAGCTCGCTCTTCTGCTATCCTTTTGTATCAGAAACCTGCTTTAAAACTGTATTTCCACTTAGCCTGCCTCCGCTTGAGTACTCCAACCAATTCTAAAATACAGCAGAGGGGCACTGTTTCAGAAGAACTAGGGGTCACAAAATGAATAAGTAGGAAGTTTAAAACCAACAAAGGGAATTTCTTTTCCACACAGTAATTCAGTTAAACTATCTGCCAACAGATGGGGTGGAAGCTGACAGTTGAGGCAGGTTGGAAAAGGGACTGGGCACATTCTTGGAGAAAAGAGGCATCGGTAGCTATTGAGCAGGGGAGTGAAGGGCACAGCCCCTGAACAGACTTGCCCAGACCTAGAAGGAGGCTGCAAGTGAGAGAGGAACAGTGGGGGAAAAACCCGGATGGGACCCAATTCGCTCTCGCTTTCAGCAGCCCCTCCCTGCCCCTGTGTGGCACAGGGCTGGGCAAGAGAGACCTGTGGGCTGACCCAGCAAATAGCAGCTCTTTTGGCCCCTCTCATAATCGGGGCGTCTAGACTCCAAGCTGCTCCAGATCCTGCTCTTCAGCATCTAACTTTCGCGCCTACCCTTGTAGACTCAGAGCACGTGGATTCAACAGAACGGAGGAAAAAGCAAGCACGTGTTTAACACCCGCACGGGAGCGCCGGATCCTCTCCCTACCGCCTTCCCTGCCCCCAGGACCCCAGCGCCCGTGGCCCGGCCCGGCCCGGCTCGGCCCGCGGCGCCGCGCCACGTGGCCGGCTCGCGGGGGGCAGCAGAGGGCACCGGGGAAGGGGGATCGGGGGCTGAAAGCGATTCCCAAAGCTTCTCGCCCCCGTGTCTGCTGCTGTCCAGCAGGCTCGAGAGCCGGGCAGGGCAGGGCAGGGGCTGCGAGGCACGTGGCAGGAGCCCTGCAAGAGGGCTGGCGCAGCGAGACCCTGCAGCCGGGGTCTGCCCGCGCCCCGCTCCTCCCCCCAGCTACTTTCCCGGCTCACCTGGGCTGCCATCACCCGCTGCCTCTCGGCGATCAGGCTGCACTTTTTGCACTGGCAGTCCCTCCACATGCAGAACCGCTTGTGCCCTTTCAGGGGCGAGGAGTAGCCGTGGTTCCTGCAGCGGGCACACTTGGGCAGCCGGGGGGACTTCTTCCCCGAGGCGGCGGCTGCTTGAGCCAAGCCCGTGGAGCCCCCTCCAGCCCCGGCAGCGGCCATCAGAGCGGCTGCCTTGCCGAAGCTGCCCATCTTACCCCCCTGGCCATGGTGCTCCGAGGAAGCCGAGGGCTTGCTGAATGAGGACTCATTGGGCATCGTCTCGGCTCGGTGTCGGAAGTGGGGGGAAAGGTGTGGGTTCGGCTTGCGAAGCTCGATTCCTGCCCCAAGGGCAGCTACTACGCAAGTCCTGCTGCGACCAGCGCCCCCCAGCTGTCCTGCTTCGCTTGCCTGCCCCGGGCCTTGGAACGTTCCCTGCCTTCTATGGAACGCTGGAGACTTGGTGGAACCTTCCCCGGGCGGGGGCGGGGCCCGCTGGCCCCGCCCCCTACCCGCCCTCGCCCTTCCCGCCCAGCCCGGCAGGCCTCAGGCCCAGGGTTGGGCGGGCAGCCTGGGGGCCGGTGCAGGCTCGGGCTGCTTGGTAGCAAGCGGCCCTTAGGTCTCTCCGCCCTCAGGGCAGAGCAGTACCTCTGCTCCCTGAAGAGCCAGGCAGCAAATGAGGGTTGGAAGGGACCTCAGGAGGTCATTTAGTAGTCCAGCCCCCTGGTCAAAGCAGAACCGTTGCCAACTAGATCATGCCAGCCAAGGCTTTGTGGTCTTAAAAACCTCCAAGGATGGCAATTCCTCAACCATGAGCAGGGGTCTGCCCTGCTGGCGGCGTGGAGACGCCCCATCCAATCTGATCCCCTTGCCAAAGTCCATGATAAACACAGCCCCCAATGCCAGTGCACTCACCCTGGCATTGAAGCATCAATTTTCTTCTCTCCTTCTGCCTCAGTAGTAAAGACGCTGCAGTTATATTGTTGATGCGCACAAGAGGGAAAGTCCATCCCTCTGAGAGACGCTGGCCTTGCAGGGCTGGCAACAGTAAAATGGCATAAGAGCTCAGTCTTGCCTGATCTGGTTGAACAGTACAATCAGAGACTGAGCAAGGAGCCTCTCTTTTTCTTCTTCACACAGGAATCTTTTGGCACATAAACACCTTTGTAGTGGCTGAGGCAAGGATTTCTTAGGGCAATACCTTTTATGGGGCCAGCTGTATAGTTGGGATAGAGGTAGACAATCTTTCAAATACATCAGGTCTGCTCTGAAGGGTCTCTTTGCTCATCTCATTGCTCAAGAGCCACCTTGTTTTGATACCTTAACCTTTGTGTCTCCATTTCATAGTGAAATACAACAAACTCTCTGTGGGTTATAAACTATAAAATACCTGTATATAGTATGTAAAATAATGTACACAGAATAAGCAATAGATAGTTAACTGTATTTCAGTCTAAAATTTTATGTAAACTATTCTCTATCTCCGCCCTGAAATCTCCCCTTAAAGCCTAGTTCTTTCAGGTAGCCACTCATTTCTGGTCGACTGCAAATGGCTGCCTTTTCCCACAGATCTTCCTCGTTTTTTTGCATTGTACCTTTTGAAATATATTCTTGGAGTCAGGACCAGTCTTAAGGTCAGAAGGGATGTAAAAGGCATCTGGCCTATATAAGGTATAGTGGCTATAACAGGTCAGGGCTTTACAGAATCTAACTAGGTTTATAGGAGGTTATATTTTTGGAGGTCTGTATTACATCTCATTATGTTTCCGTGGTTTTGATAGTCTGAAAGGAAGAGTCTAAGTCAGTATAAGTCATGCTCAGGGTACAGAACAGTGGCATAGCAGGAGATGGAAAGGAACAGATAGGAAAAGTCTCTTTCTTTTAAACTGTGTTTCTTAGTTAATACTGTATATAAATGCATTGCAGCAAGACATTTTCTTTAAGTAGTAGCTCTGAGATACTTATGTGGCTTCCTCTCCTCTAGCGAGCTTACATTTAATTCACTGCTATGAATCCCTAAATATGTGATGATGATCACCAACTGAAGTGCCAAACAAAGAAAAGCAAAAGAAAAACTCAGCATTATGTGACTTGATGTGAATAAAAGATTGAACCTCACTTTAATGGTTCAATATTTTGTATGTCAACGTGTCCTGGAATGATCAAGAGAAAGACAAGCACAACATTCACATGGAACAAAAATAAAACGTATCAATTCAGTGAATGATGAATCTGACAGTCTGCATCTGAAGCAAATTAATACAGAGTCAGCTGTTTCTGCTTTCTGTTTTGAAGTCTGATCCAACTCCCATTGAAATAATCAGAAATAATCTACTGCCTTCAAGTGATATTGGATCAAGCTCCCCATGCAGAACAAAATCTGCAAACTTCACCCATTTTTTAGAGTGACTGACTATTGTTAAAGGGTCTTGATCCAATTCTCAGTGAAATCAATGGAAATATACAGATTTACTGGATCCAAGATCATGGGTGACTGATGCCGCCTTAATCGGGGGGGCACGTGCTCTGCCCTGCAATCAGTCCTGACGACCAGGGGGGTCTGATCTCACTGCCCGGGGGAACCCCCGTGGCCAATCCTGCAACAGCTGATTGCTGTAGCCGATCGCTGCAGTCTCTTTCAGGAGCGGCTGCAGCAATCGGCCTACCCCCCTGCCTATCGCCTAAGCGGCAAGCCCGGCTGGTCAGGGGGTGCACCAGCACTCTCAGGGTGCACATGCACCCCCATGCACCCCCTACGTGTCCAAGATACACATACTGGATTCAAGATACAAATGAAAAGAAGAAGACGCCAAGGACAGAGTTGGAGATAGAGAGGAGGTTAAAAGAATAAGGAGACAATATCCGCTTCAGCTGCCTGTGGCCCAACTGTCATGGAGCCACCAAGACGATTGACCACCTCCTCTGGCTGTGTACCTGCACCAAGGAGGTATGGCAAAGGGTGAAGCAGCTCTGCAAAGCAGTGACCAGCATCAACTGGCTAACCAGAGAAGCAGTGCTGTACGGACACCATGCCAAACACTAGGGGAACCCACTGGCCCATTTCAACCAGTTTGCATCCTGTATTAGGAGCGCCCTGTGAAAGGCCAGGAACCTCCTGTTGTACAAGCACAGGGATGTAGAGGTAGTAGGCTGTGTGAAAATGGTGCTATGTGAACACCAGACCTACTACCAGAAATCGGTAGTGGAGGATGGAGAGAATGCAGCCAAAGCCACCTGGCACAAAGACACGTGGGACAGGATCTTCCAAGTTCCACCTAGTGGGGTGGGGGTGGTGACAGTGAGGAAGAGGAAGAGACAAATGGAACTGAGGACAGCGACAGCAGCAGCGGGTCCTCCAGTGGGCGCTGGAGTAACAGTGGCATGGACAACAGGTGAACTGAGTATGTGACCCCACAAGCAGGGTGGGGATGAAAGGAAGGGGTTGCCTGATCTGAGAGACCAGAGGTTGGCTGTGTGTGTAGTGTGCGAGGCGGATATTGTAACGGGTTCGGGTGGGTGCACAGGCTGCACGGATGCAGTTTTTGTAATGGGTTAAGGTTTTCTCTGTGGTGTGATACTCAGAGTGTAGATATATATAACCTCATATATATATATATATATATTTTACAAAAAGAAAAAAAGGACTGCATTCTCCAGGAACCAATGTACGTTGTTTAAGCACAACACCTGCTACATTGCATTGCTATCACTGCTCCCAAACCTGGGCAGTGCTGATATGCTGTAATTCAGCTAACAATATGCACACAATACCCAATTCATTGTCATTAGATATTGCGAACAGAGAAAAAGAGTAAGAGGCAGACTTATGGGGCACCTTACCTTATCTTCTTATGTTGTTAAACTCCCAAGTCCAATCTTGTAAGTATTGTGGGAAAGTACTCAGCTCAGTATTGCGCATTAGTTTAGCAGATTCATTTTGACATGTTACCAGCCTCTGCTGTTTTGTTGGACTTCATTAGACCTCTGAGGAGCCCAACTTCTACTTCCTGTGTGTAAGGCCCTCTATGTCCTGGCTGTAGCCAGGCAATCAAATTAGCAGAAGTAATATACTGCTGATCATGTCTCTAATCCTGTGAACATTTCAGCACCCATGGTCTTGTACTCATGTGAGTAATCACAGTAAATTCAATGGGGGTAATCACCCAAGTAGCTCTGCTTGTGTATGTATCTGTAGGTTTGGAGCACATGACTGTAGTGTTAACAAACCAAACCTATTGAAAATATACTTCAATAAAAATCCAGTAGGTGGCATAAACAGGCCACACATTATTTTTGAGTTTTACTTGTTTTTTGTACTGTGCAGTTTCCTTCCCCTTCTAATTGTTAATTTTCTGTCTCTGGCTTGCTCTTTACTTTGAACATTCTCTAACATGAGGAAGCTGAAGTCTTTTCCAGTGGGATCCACTCTGCTGTCTTCAGAATGGAACTCAGGGCTTGGTATTCCAGCCAGAAGGACATGTTTGAAGCTGCCGGCAGGAGGCCGTTAGTGCTGGGTTTGATACATATTCTGAAGCAGTGATTCTCAACTGGGGTTCTCTTGGCCACAAGATGTTTTTAAGGGTACCATGCAATATTATCCCTTTTCGGTGTGTAAACACCTACATAAGTCCCAACCAAGACTAACCACAGAAATTTCATAGAGGAATCCACAGTGTCAAAAACCTGTTGTAGTCTGCAATTCTTTGCAACAGAAGAATAGCTCTGTCATTTTTTCATACTCATAAAAGGAGTGAAAGCTAACTGCTGGCATTTTCTGAGCAGTGCCGTGAGTCTAAAAAGGTTGAAACCACTACTCTACAGGCAGACTTTTGCTTCTAACTTCAGTTTAAGCTTGCAAAACCTTTTGCACAAAAACAAATGCCATTCCTTAACAGGAAAAGTGGGTCCAAATCTAAGCCCACATCTCCAAACTCCCCACATTTTGACTACTTAGGTCTTTCTCTCCTGTGTAAGTTTTGGATTGTTTAAATTAAAATTGTGTTAGGAGGTTACCAGGTAATGTAAAGCCAGTTACATCTAGAATCTAGTAACTCAGTTACATTCTCATTAAAATCAATGGGTCCATGTTCCATTACTCTTTCTAGCAAACACAGCTTTCCCGCTTGCATTTAAATGGTAAGAAGTTCCCCTATTAGCATTTCAGCTACTGATGCATCTATGTTATATTTTCACATTTTCTCCCCATAACTTGTGTGACCAGGAAGGGTATTCATTTTGCTTCTGTGTTTTTTAATGCATCTTCTTATTATGGGCCAGGATATGGCTGCCTCTTATAACAGGGGCAGGAATCAAAGGACCATGCTGAAAGTCTTTATATCCTTCCTTTATGCCCCATGTGAGGGGCTGTCAGTCTCAGTCCCTTTGCTTCGGGGACAGAAAATGAGGATGTTTTAGTGCAAACCGTGCTTATAGAGTCCTTCCTGGCATTTGCCACAAATAGCTGCAAAAGCACAA